TGACTGCAGGGCACAAATGAAAATGAACATGCCGTTTATCCTACACGTTGCAATGTGTTAAGATATATATATATATACTTTTCATTCCATTCTATTGCATGCATCCATACATACATAGGTACATCTTTGGGGGAGGTGTCCAACATCTTGCAGAACAAGGGCGGATGATCGCTGCTTTGGTATTGTGCCCCATCTCAAGGCCATCACAAAAGCCTTACAAAGCCAGCAACAAATCAACGGTCGAGTGGAAAGTTGAGTAGATTGTTTGCTTAAGTTTCCCTAAACATCTAGGAACCAAATGAATCGTGCGAGCGTGAGCTATCCTGTGTCTATATGTCGTAGTGCTTCCAGATTCCAGTAGCTAGGAACGTACAGGTTTGCCCCTTTCAGTAATTGAGTAGGTAGCCAGGTAGCCTACTTGATGGCCTCCAACCAAATCGCGACGGCGAAAAATTAACAATTAAAAAGAGGTCTATGGCGGTTTCTCTTGCGCCATCAAGTCCAAGACACCTGCTGCAACCGCAATGATCGACTTGAGAACTGCAAAGAGCTCCACTGCCAATGGGAAGGACAGGCTTTTCACCGCAAAGTTGGGCTTGTTGAAGAGTTCCAAAAGCACCTCGGACACCTCACAGCTTTGGAACAAAACTTGAAAAGCACATGCGGCAAGTGTGATTCTCTACAGGCCATGGCCCTTTTATGACTCACCTGCCTTGACAAAGGCAAAGCGACAAAAGGTCTCTAGGACGTGGAGAAGAATAGAGAAGAATGAACAGCACAAGGCCAGTAAAGAATAGAAACTAGGAGTCAGGACGCTACTAGGGGCTCCTGGCCTTACTGATTACTAGGAACAAGAAGCAACTAGTAACAAAGGGCATTTCTACTAGGAGCAAGGACGCTCCTAGGGGCAAGAGAAAGCACGCAGCAAGGAGCGTGTGGGCCAAAGCAGGTGGCCCAGTGGCCTGACCCAGGGGGTCAAGTCATCTCACCAGTGGCCCGACACTGCAAAACAAGCCTGGACACAAGTCGTTCACACCAAACGGAAGACTTGACAACGCACAGTCACAAACACGACAACCAACAACAAACAACAAAACATGACATGACCACAGTGGGAGTAGCTCGAAGTAAAGCAATTCTCTGTCTTTCCTTTTGTTTGTCATTCGTTTGTTGTCTCAGATGTTTACTACCCCTGCACTGTATGGGTGGCCAAGTTGTGCCTACAAACCTTCATGGAAACATGAGCGCGCGCGTACGGTTGGCATTATATGATCGAATCATGCGCAAATCCTAGTAACAGGTGCCACGCTACTAGTAACAGGTGCCACGCTACTAGTAACAGGTGCCTTACTAGTAGTAACAATGTTTGCAATTATATAATTTAAGTTTAATTTACCGACAGTCCCAAATCTTTCCCATGGGCCTTGGGATCTTTGCAACCTAGCGTGGCTTCAGCGAAATGCCTCGCAGCTGAAATTGCCAATGGCCTCCAACCTAATAGCGATGGCCTCCAAATGAAATTAGCCAGAAAAGAGGACTATGGCTATGGGCCAGGGCGGACAAGGCTCCCTCGTGCCACGTCTGCTGCCAGCGTTCCACCCATAAGCACAGCAGCCGGCAAACCTGACCAAAACATGACACCATCATCGGACAAGCTTAATGATTCATGAACGAAATCCTTCAAAACATTTCTTTCAGTTTTTTGGGCTTCTTGGCAAACATGCCTAAAGATTCACTGACGTAAGCGCTGCCAAACTTGAGCTGTTTCTCCGCGCTGGGCATAAGGATCTTGGACATGACCTTAAGGTTCACAGTGTTCAACAGTCGGACCAGCTTCACTATCGGCGATGCTACAGGCGATGCTATAGGCGATGCTAGGCAATGTGAACTCTACCCATCGCAAGCTGCCACACACTCAACGGCTTGTGGGAAATGGCAAAGTGGCTGCCGGATTAGGGTCACTCTGTGAGAGCGCAAGGGGCTGCGGAACAAGCAAGCAGATGGAACAACCACGTCTTCCGGTTGCACTTGAGCAAACTGCTTTGAAATCTGACAGGTCCTTTCTGAAAAGGTGCAAGTCGGAAGCAGATTCCAGAAATTGTGGAACACCTTGCTGAAGAACTACTGGAACGCAGCACAAGCAGCTTACCCGGTGTGGTTGAAGAAAAGTTGGCAAGCTCTTTTCAACTAGAATATTTTCATGGTGCTCCTTCTCGTGCGTGCTGGGGTGATTTGGCGAACAAAGAGTGCAAATGCTGGAAATGCCACCGTGGGGAATCACTCGAACTAAAGTAGTTTGGTCAATATCCACACCAACTAACAAAATGTTGCTCTGAACCTTCGATGGTTTCTCCAACTTTGAAAGAAAACCCTGGATGGCATCAATATCTGCTCGAAAGTCGCGGCGCAATAGTTTGTCACAAGAAGCAAATAGGAACAAGAAGCTACTAGGGGCTCCTGGCTTTACTACTAGGAGCAAGGACGCTACTAGGGGCTCCTGGCCGTACTACCAGGAACAAGTAGCTACTAGTAACAAGAAGTAGGAATTCCAATCACACCGAGACACAACAGCAGTGGCCGTTGGTTTGACCTTACCCTTGAGCTTGGACATAAGCTCCTCCATCTGCTCACCGAACGCCACAAAGATCAAAAGATCCGCATCTTTGGCAGCCTGGTCTGGAGATTTAAATTATGCAAAAGCTGCCAATGCACCAGGTCAACAAATCGGCTAAAATAGTGAAACATATCAATAGAGATGAATACCTACTAGCGATGGCCTCCATCCTAGTAGCAATGGCAAAAGAGTATATCTACCAAATGCACGTGCCACAGTGCCTCGACAGGGTCCACTGTCGCACGGACATTGCGTGGCAGCCGCAAGCCTGGCAAATGCCTCTCGTCAAAGCCGGTTTCATTGATGGCCTTTGCCGTCTCTGTCGAAGGGACCCAAACTGGCAAAGACTCTTCAAAGCGCTTCAAATGTAGAAGCGATTGGCCAACTTGACGTGCTACTCCAGTACCCCAAGAGCCTACACTGAAGCAGGCTACGCGGAGCTTGCTGTGCACAGTTTGAGGGATGCTCTTTAATTTCAGCGCTTCGGTCAATGACCGGATCAAGCAAACCACTCCAGCCGGTTGGTCTGTGTTCTTCGGCATGACAAAATGTGACACGGCCTTGGTCTTCTTCACGGCATTTCCCATAGCACACGCCACTCGGACGGATTGTAACATCTCCAAATCGTTCTCGGAATCACCAATCGCACAGCATTCGGCCATGCTGAGCCCAAGGGCTTCCAACAAAATATGAAGACCGGCTGCTTTGTTGGTGCCTGGGGCCATAATGTCGATCCTTGGAGTCCATCGCAATTAGATTGGCCTATGGGGAGAGTGAACAAAATAGCGTCTTGCTCCTAGTAGTAAGGCCAGGAGCCCCTAGTAGCTTCTTGCTCCTAGTAGCGATGCCAGGAGCCCCGTTCGTAGCGTCCTCGTTCGTAAGATTAACAAAGTCTTTGGCTCGGTCAGAGTTTTTACCTTTCACTCCGAGCTTCGTGGTCGGTAGAGATTGGGCATAAGCAGCAGAGCCAGCAACACAGTCTGCGACTTGTGGCTTGACAATGTCCATCTTGTCTGGATGACAAATGACCCGCATCATGTTGACTTTTGTAGGAATAGGAGGATCAGCTGTAGCATAGCCACCTTTGACCTCTATCGGATCAGGATCCAACAAGTGCTTGTGCATAAATAGGGCATATTCTTCAGACCGGTCCATCACGTAGTGTGAGTCTCCTTCCACAAACAGAATGGATGCTACATCTCGATGGGAACGGCCCCACTCCACCATCTTCTTCAAGAGGTCCAATGGGAGAGTCAAATTTCGCAAGAGCTCTCCGCCTTTGCCTTATCTCTTTCCCCTGTCTTTCATGTATTTTGTTGGGTAAACGAAAAGGACAAGTAAGGCAAGCTAGTATCCAGTGTTCTCCTACCCTCAAAATACTTTGTATAGAGTTGGATGTCATGGTTTCAGCTTCAGCATCTCTCAGCGGAGTTCAATGGTTTACTTGTTCAGTTGAGCTGCCTTTCACAGTAGTGCCATTCAAGTACACACCTGCAATTCTGGAGTATCGTTGACAAGCTCAAAAGACTGTTCTTGCTATTGTTTGTCCTTGCCATGGTTTGATGTTCCAAAGGATTCAAATCTGCTCTTCTAAATGTGTTTGCTTAAACTGAATCCTCACAATGACCTCAATGACCCATGTCTTGCAATCAAATCTCTTGTGTTTAATATGTGTTTGTGAATATTGTTTTATGCATGGTGAAATGGTGATTCAGCTCCAAAGCCACAAGGTGCCTGGCATCTTGTCGATGTCCAAGCCCTTCAACACACCACGTGCTGAGCCCAAATCGCGTCCTGTGCACACGGCAAAGGAACCTCCCGCACTCACGTACTCCGCAATCGCCTCGAAAGTGCCAGTGGCCTCGAAAGTGCCGGTGGTGCAAAAATGGCTCCTTTCCTACCTAATAGCGATGGCCTCCAACCTAATAGCGATGGTTTCAACACATATTGCTCAATATCCCTCATATACTCCCTCATATGTATTTACACATCTTGTGCATCTTAGGAGCAGGAACATGGTCAGGATTCAGCAAAGTCCCATCCAGGTCTGAGGCCAACAACTTTACAGATGCCAGCAAGGCGTCATTGGTGATCATCTTCCACGCAAAGCTAAGCTACCATCCGAAACGATGTTTCCACGCAAAACTAGGTGTTTCCAAACTTTGGTTACTTGGCCAGAACACGCGCATGCGCAGTCATAGCTTGGGACCGTGGGGTTTTGAGGTGTCTTCTGTCTGTTTCTATTTTGCACATTGTCAGAATGTCGCATTGCCTTGTACACTGTGGCTTTGGGCTCAAAGGCTGACACGGTAACAGAAATAAGGAATCCCAAATAGCTCTCTGCACTAATCCCAAGCGACATGAAAAGAAACGGGTCGGGCCAGACCCGAATGCCATAGTCGGAAAGGAACTCTTCAGGATCCAACATTCGCTTCAAAAGAGCTCTCATCCTCACGGCATAGCCCTTTGTTCACAAGAATTGAGGGTGAAGTGATGTGTGCAAAACTGGCAAACTTGAAGCGCACAAGTCTATCTTGCACTTGGTGATGTCTGTCCTGTAGCCTCGCAGTAGCGAGAGCAGCCGCCGCTCTCCCCGGCCAGGCTGAGGGCACAGGTCATTCGTGAACAATGCTTGAAATTTATCGAAGGTGTTTTTAGATGCTTTTTTCAAGACAGCAGGAGGAGTAGCGAGTAGTGCTCGTCGTGGTGGTGGTAGTGGTGGGTGGTACTGGTGCTGGTGGTAGGAGTGGTGGTGGAAAATGCAAGCAGCAAGACTATCAGCAATACAGCTGTATACCCATTTCTGCACTTCTTTCCGACTTAGCGGATGGGGCAGACAGCCCCGCATAAAGCATGCAAGCAAGCATGGGTGCACATGCAATTCCCCAATAACGTCAGGGAGTGATTCACCAACTCCAGCCAATGCAGGGCACGGCAGGGCACGGCAGGTCCGCAAAGCTAGCTTTATGGCTTTGGCTGGCTTCAAAGTTTGTTCCTTTTGTCTCAGTAACAAGAACACAACGTAAGTAGCAAGAAGCTATTAGGTTGGAGGCCATCGCTACTACGGTGGAGGCCATCGCTACTGGTAGCGAGAAGCTACTAGTAGTTTTTTCTCATTGTGTCTCAGTTTCTCTTAGTAGCGTCCTTGCTCCTAGTAGCGATGATAGGAGCCCCTAGTAGCGATGCCCTTGCTCCTAGTAGCTTCATTTGCTCTTGCCTCTTCGAAGCGGGAGACTAAAGATGCCAAATCTGGCCGATGCTCAAAGAGCCATTGCCTCACACCAGCCATGTCGCTTAGATGCATGCATTCCTGCAGAATTACTACTTCTGAAAGCGCTGTTGTCTGTAGCCTTCTCGAAAAGGTACACAAGAAAGGAAAGACACTTAGCTACTAGTAATGTCCTTTTTTCTGGTAGCGATGCCAGGAGCTACTAGTAGCGTCCTTGCTCCTAGTAGCGATGCCCTTTGTTCTGGAATGAAACAAAGAAATTCTAAAGGTCCAATTCAAAAAAGACGGGGCTCAATTCTACGACCTCAGGCAAGCATGGACTAGTAACCAGTAGCCCCTGGTAGCACATAGCGCTAAATTGTTTATGGACATGGAGTGGCCTCAGCCTCAATGTCCATTTTCGTGCAGTGCGCACTACCATATATTCAGGGGAACAAAAGAAGGAAATTCGAGATGGCTAAGGGAGAAGGAAGAAATATAGCAATGGCCTCCAACCTAAAAGCGATGGCCTCGAACCTACTAGGGATGGCCTCCAACCTAATAGCTAAGGGAGAAGGAAGAAATTAAAGCGTCATTTGTCAGCGTATGCACTGAGCATTTCAGCACCAGGCATCTGTCCAGCAAACCGAGGCAGCTTAGTCAGCATGTCCTGAGCTCCACAACGACCTTATGATTCCACTGAGTGAACCTGCTGACTTGGCTACCGCACTGGCTCAAGAACCTACACCGGGCAACGCCAGGCAAACGAAATTAAAATTGGCTCGGACTCGTGATTCCTTCTCAACTCGACATTTTCACAAGGCTTCATGTCATCAAATTCGTCCAACTCCTTTCCAACAGGAAGCCCAAAAACCTTTGTAGCCACAATGGGTCGCATCTATAGATCACCTATGCATATTAAGGAAGTAACAGGAATGTGGCACTTCTAAATAGCCTCCACTGCAAAGAGCGGGATCAAGCCAACAATACTGCGGAGCTTGATCGGCTCCTGGTGTGGCCCATCTGCTTGCTGCGGGACTCGACATGGATGGCTGACTTTTCTTTTTCTGGGATTCGCACCCTTGTGCCATCGGGGTTGGCGAGGACGTCGTAGTAAAACTGACCGCCAGGGCCAGGGTCACATGTTCTGTGCGTTAATGGGGGATTGTGGCACCTCATCTGAGGGATCCCAAAGGCCATGCTCTGCATTGTTTGCAACTCGGGTCATAGCCTTAGAGTCACACTACGAAATATCAAACAATCCGTGCAAAAGCATGCACAGCAACACAAGTAGGTTGGAGGCCATCGCGAGTAGGTTGGAGGCCATCGCTCTTAGGTTGAAGACCATCGCTCTTAGATTGGAGGCACTCGCTCTTAGGTAGGAGGCCATCGCTCTTAAGTTGGAGGCCATCCCTATTAGGTTGGAGG